TGATTGATGTTCAAATAGTGGCATATCATCACCAGCCCAATATATCTTATAATTACTGGCCCAAGGGGAAAATGCCCCTCCTGTCCACAGCTCAGCTAACCCCTGTAGGAACTCAGCTTGGCCAAACATTGTATACTGCTGGAGATGGATCCAAATGCTGTGTTACCCATTAAAACCTCTGTCTTTTAACTGGTATAAATGGTGTGAGCAGTCACATATTACAGCAGTAGTATTGTTGTCATTCATAGTTCCACCCAAACACTTTCCACAAGGGAACATCTCTACACTAGCATATGATTAGTTTTTTTCTGCAATGGCAGCTGTGACAAGCAATCCAAGAGTTTGAAGTGACACCAGAAACTGTTTACTTCCTTGTAATATGCTTCCACAGATTTCTGTATTTTATATGACCCAAACATTAAAGTATACTTGTTGTTTCAGAGAGAGTAAGAAATGGTTAATACCTCTAGTATGTTTTTGTTTTTGTTTTGTTTTTTTTTTGGTATCTGTGGCCCATTTGATATTTCCTTTTATTTCTTGCTCAATAGACAGTAATGGAAGTGAGTAAAATGCCCACTTAGAAAGTTGTCACCTGAATAGGCTCACCAGTTGAAATATTTAACCTTTAATCCTGTTCCAGTGACAACTCAAAATGTAAACATTTCTTACTCAGAGACAATGGTCTGCAGGACAAGCTGAGGGGGTGAACATCCCTTGTGGGAACATAGATAGCATGTTGTCTTTATTTCATTGGGGAGATTTCCTTTCACTTCCTGTCCCAGATACATAGCATACAGTGAGAGAAAATCTTTCCAAATTGAAAAGTAATCTCCTCTTACATAACTATCACTGGAATAGGTGACCCAAATTGAAAGAATTTAAATCTAAACCTACTCTGGTGACAACATTTTGGATTTCCATCACTTGTATAGAAGAAAATTATCAATAGCAAATCAAAAACAATTTGACAGATGTCACATAACTGCAGTTAAATTGTTTACAACTGCCTGTACTTTTTAAGGGGTGTGGTTTAGCAAGAAAATTTTTAAATGCTGTTTACTATACAGACTTTATAGACTTATATTGCATTAAATAAAACTACTCATTTACAACAATTTTCTTTTCGCTTGACAGTGGTAAATGGAAGTAGATTAGTAGCACCCAGATCAAAATATCGTCCATCAAACATAACAGTACAAATGTTTAAAGTGAACTTGTTAGCTCTTTTAAGCTCAAAATAAAAATCCTGCGCTATAGCAGGATGTTAGTCAAAAACATATTCTGTGCTCCTCCGATGGGACTGCTGTTCATCAGTTTACCTGCTGGTGGCACTGTGCCTCTGTGGCTTCAGTTTGTAGTTTCGGCAGTCACCAGGGGGTGTTTATTATACTCCACCCAGATCCTTATTCTGTGTCTTAGCATTCCACCTTTTTGTCCTGCTTATTCATGCTAGACCATCATGCTAGTCTTCCTGGGTTTGTAGTACTCTGGGAAATCTCTCTTAACTACAACTCTTATTTCATTTTTCCTATGATTTTATTTAGTATCTTTCAATCACATTACTGAATAGAGGCATGCTGCCTTCTACAGGCTGCAGTAGCCTCTACAAGCGAAAACCAACCTATTCTCACTGCAGCCTTCAGCTTGCATATAATGTCAAAGTTGGCATTGTGATCTCATGATTGGAAACCACTTAAAATGGTTCTCAATCATTATTTGGGGCAGAAGCTGAGTTTTAAAGAAAGATGGCTGTAAAAAGGAGGATATTTGTTACTGTATCCTGAGCACATTCTGTATGTCTTTTCCATCTGTCTTTGCATAAGATTTGCATCTGGACTTTAATATTACAGAGTAGAGCTTCAATCCCATCTTTGCTCTGTTTAGTCCCAACCCAGGGGGATCCAACCCATTGGGTGATAATACAAACATTTCTGGGGAATCCAAGCCATCTATTCACTTTCTCAAATATCTTGAAGTAAGACAGAGACATGCAGAGAATTAGAATTTTTCAAAGAAAGTCTACAATGCCAGCTGATGTATTTATATCACTACAGGTTTCCATTAAAGGTGGTTAGTTTAATGTAACCAAAAAGCTAAAACACACACAATATGGTAAAATGGCTTAAATGTATGTTATTTATATGATCAATCCATTTCTCCGTAACTTCAATAAATGTATTTAAAAAAGAAACAAAAGCTGGTACTCTTTTAATAATAGAAAGCTGACAAAACATATGCATATGTAATGACATTTCAACTGAATATTAATTTTGTGTTACACAGAGTATTGTCTATCCCATGAGCTCTCTGAGCTTCTTAAGGATTAGGTAAGAATGAATAGTGGCATATAATCACCTGACCCAAGGGCTTCTGATTCATTTCATTAGTTTTTAACTGGATATTGCATGTCTGGTGAGCTCCACAGCATAGCAGCACACAACAATAAGATTCACACAGGGATATAACATTTTGTGGAAATGTGCACTGATAGTACGCAGAAGTAATGGGGGGGGGGGTGCTCAAATGTGGTCATATTATATTTTCCTGTGAAAACGTTCCTTTTGTTTGTGAGACAAATTAAACTGCAAATTACAGAACTAGTGCAAGCAATGAATGAACCATTAACTTATTGCCTCTTTACTCATAGTCAACAATCTGTGGTGCTCTAATTGATAGCTCTAAGAAGTATGTGATGTTGACTCTCTTCAATGTTCTTATGATTAGCTGATAATGGTTTTCCGCTTTTCCTGATGCTATCTGGAAACATTTCTATGACATTGAATATTTTTTTTTTAGGTTGTATGATAAAACCTTTCCACTACCTTTTACCACTAATCTATCTAGCAAACAATGCTAATCTACTAAAGCTAGAAAATGCACTCAGTTCACCTTAACCGCTTCCCATAGGAGTACTGCGGCAGAGCGGCTCTCCTGTGCCGGATCACATATCTAGTACGTGATCTGGCTCTTCCGGCTACGGATGGCTGGCTGTGTTGTGATTAGTCACAGCACAAGCTGATCAGCGGGTGCCAGCCAATAATTGACCGCCGGCACCCGCTGATCAGTGAGGAGGGAGCACAGCTCTGTCAATGTAAACAATACAGAGTTCTGTCCTGTCAGTGGGGATGTGCCAGTTTTATTTCCCTACAAAGCAGCGGAAAAAACTGCACATCCCTTAGTGAAAGCACCTCACAGTGCACACATATTCACTGGTTAGGCACACATTTAACCCTTTGATCGCCTTAGATGTTTAACCCCTTCCCAGTGTCATTACTACAGTGACAGTGTATATTTTTAGCACTGATCACTGTATTAGTGTCACTGGTTCCCACAAAAGTGTCAGTTAGTGTCAGATTGCCCGCCCTATTATCGCAGTCCTGTGTTAAGTTGCTAATTGCCGCCATTACTAGTTAAGAAATAAATAAATAAAAATTCCAGTACATATACCATAGTTTTTAGAAGCTAAATCTTTCACGCAAACCAACCAATATACACTTATTGGGATTTTGTTTTACCAAAAATATGTAGCAGAATACATATTGGCCTAAATTTATGAAGAAATTTGATTTTTACATTATTTTATTGCATATGTTTTACGGCAGAAAGTACAAAATGTTCTTTTGTTTTTTGTTTTTTTTTTCATTTTTGGCATTTTTTTCATTTATAGCACAAAAAATTAAAAAACCTAGTGGTGATCGAATGCAACCAAAAGAAAGCTATATTTGTGTAAAGTAAAGCAGTGCCAAATGGCAAACAATGACTTGCTCATGAAGGGGGGTAAATCTGGAGGTCAAGTGGTTAATCTGCAATCTTCACCAGAAGTATATTTATGTCTTATGTAAGTTCTTCTCTGAAAGCCTTATATAGAGGATCACCAATACCATTCAAACTTCTGATTCAGGTTTGAATATATTTGGTGGCTGTGAGGAACTTGTTAGGTGTGACTTTTTTTACATTTGTATTAAGGGCGTGTATTTATAGATAGCTCTCCTGTATCACAATTAGGGTTTTTAGCTCACCAGACTACTGACAAATATTAGTTGGTTGAATTGGTGCAGTACAACAATATCTGGATGAAAAACAGAAAAATTATCAGATAGGTTGTGTTCCCTATAACTATTTCAAGGCTTTAGTTTACATTTTGATTGTACTTTTAACTCCCTGTGTAGTTGGGTTTCTAAACATTATTTTAATTTGTATTCCTATACAGCAGCTGGGTTTTGTCAAGCTCTCCTGGTGTGTGCTAGTCTTGTCTCTAGTATTTATAGTTTGCACATTAAAGCAAATATTAATCTCAAAATCGTGTTTTTTTCAGACCCATATGACATATCTGTTGGAAGATTAAAACATACCAATTACAATGTATTTTCTGCCAGGTTAAATATATGCAAACTGAAAACTACTATTTGAAGCTTTTTTTTAACTTTAGATTTACCTCCTCAGCAAGTCTACCACTGGCTGAGATCCTTTGCCTTAACCCAAGACAATTATAAACCAGCTTCCAGCTGGATAAGCCAACTACTGCAAGGCAATTTACAAATGGTTCCACTGGGTCACATGAAACTATTGATCTTTACACTGATATTATATACACATATCTACAGTATGTAACTATCAGTCCAGTCTAAGGTTTTCATAACAGCTTATGAACACCAGTCAATTGTAAAATACTGAGAAATCTTTGCCTGCACCTCTGTTTGCCAAAAGCTAAAAGAAGCTGTGCTAGGTCTGCTTGTACAGTTTATTGAACGTTGACATTTTGGGTCACAGTCAAAAGCAATTTGATGTCAGTTTCCTTCACCTTTGCTCAGCTTTCTTTCAGAACTGCCAAAATATTGTTCTTAAAAATACACATTATGTTGAATTTCTTGAATGATTTTAGTTGCATAGAAGATTTCCAGTTGCAATTAGGTGAGTATGATATAAATGATGTCTCTTCAGATATAATTGCTTAATTTAAAATTTATAAATATCATTTTATTTCCGCTACTACTAATATCCTAAGAAAAGAGATTTTTGTATTTCATTTTTTCTTCCTCCTCCTTCTCTTCCATCCTCATCTCCAGCTTCCTTATCTCTTTCTTGACTTGACGGGTCATTGTTGGGTCAAGTTCTATGACTTTCTCAAAATCTTTTTTTGCTTCAGCTTCATTCCATACTTCAGCGTTGGCCTTAGCTCGAAGGAAATAAGCCTTTGTCAAACCTAGGAAAGGAATCATCAACTTATATATTCTGTTCATATTTTGTTTTTACACAATGCAGTCAGATAATTTCTCAAGGAACATGACACTTAAAGTAAACTTGACCTCAAAGATGATCACAGAACTCATTCTGACAATGCCTTCATCTAATTTTTTGCCCAAGGGTTTGGTACAATGTTTTTTAGGTGCTAGCCAGGTCCTTGATCTAAATCTTCCTATTAAATGACACAATCATTAGAGTCCTAGTGCCTCTGCAGTAGCTTTTATGTTTTGAGTTGTGTGACTTGTAAAGTTGGTCCAATTTAATTCATACAGAATTTTAAAATTAAAAGTCTTAATACTTACATGTTCATCAATTGTTTATAGTAACAACATTACGATGCCTTTTCCTTCATCCTTAACCCCTTAACACCGGCGCCTCCCTTCCCTTTAAGGTGCTGCCGATGCCCAGAGGGGTTTATAATCATGTGACAGCCGTGATTGGTTGTCACACTGGTCACATGATCGTAAAGCTCCCAATTGCAAGTAGTAATTGGGAGCTTTCCGCTAGGCACTGGTAAGTGTGCCAGGTGTGCACTCTTGGCACAGGTTTGTTTTCAATTTGATATGCAAATATATGCCCTCTCAGCATGGAGGCCCACCCACCAAGAGGCTGCATATTTGCATACTCTCTGCATAAAGGAGTTAATATAAGACTGAATAAAAAATAGAATAATTATTATAATTAGGTGAATTATAAATAAACCATTTATTTGATTCAACACGTTATACAAAAGAAATAGCACTTCACTCTCTATGGAGTAAAGTTCGGTGTCAGTATGTAGGATTCATTGTTCACTCTGTGGCAAAGAGCTCACCCTCCAGCCAGACACTGAAATAGTTTCATTAGCTGCCATCCTCAGGTGTTTATGTGCATGGTAAGCATCAGAAATTCAATGAACCCTTCAGGTGCCTCAAGAAGTTCTGCTCTTCCTGCTTCAAGTAGAGCTGGATGAAGGCAGATCTAATCACAGGTAATTACTCCCTGGTTACTTCTTAATACAGATAGACAGTTGTACCCACTGTTAGTGTGGCATTGATTTGTACAGGCTATCTGCATTCACCTGGGCCCCTGGCCAGCTTTTTTCCACAAGATACTTGCTACACCACAGCCAGTTTGATCAAGAGAATGAGGCTTAACTATAGTGTGTGGGGACTCCAAAAATCTTTATCTTTTGATATGTACAGAATTTAGGGTTGTCCATACCACACTATTTTTCACACATTGCTCATTGCTTAACCAGTTGTGGACAATGGATATACTATGCATCAGGGGCGGACTCACCATTTGGGAACTCGGGCACTGCCCGAGGCCCGGGGTCAGAAGGGGGCCCCATGAGATGCCCCTGGTACCTTTCATAGGCTTTTTTGGGTGTGGTTTGAGTGTGGGCAAGGACACAGGGGCCTCATGATCCCCTATTGCCCGGGGGCCCCATGAGTTGTCAGTCTGCCCCTGCTACGCATGGCCATATAAACTATATGAAAATACAAAGGGCATGTGCAGTACGTCCTGTCTTTCTGCCCCTCTTCACCCTCACACTTTTTGGCAATTCTAACAGTTTGGAGTTTCTGTGTTAATACAGCACACATAATACTTGCCGCTGTCAAACACTGGACCATCTGACACAGTGTTTATGAACTATGTTTAGACAGGAGGTAGAGAGATAAAAAGTAACATTGTTATTTTAGTATCTACTCAGTTTCATCCATCTGCAAATCAAAAGGATGAGCTTTGATATATATATGATGTCAGTTAAACCAACCTGACAAGAAATTATAATTATTAGGGCCTCGAGCACACCATTATGCAGAGAGTTCAGTTTTCCTGCACCCTTGTGCACACCCTTGTGCAAGGGCACAAAACAAAATTGTTCTCTATTTCCCTCGTTCACACTGCAACACGTGCAGATTTTTCTACGCAGACACACTATATTGCCAAAAGTATTGGGACATCCCTCCAAATCTTTGGATTCAGTCACCTCCATAGCCACAGGTGTATAAAATCAAGCACCTAATTATGCAGACTGGTTCTACAAACATTTGTGAAATAATGGGTCGCTTTCATGAGCTCAATGAATGCAAGTGTGGTACCGGGATAGGTTGTCACCTATGTGATAAGTCCATTAATGAAATTTCCTTGCTACTAAATATTCCACGGTCAGCTGTTAGTGGTATTATAACAAAGTGGAAGCAACTGGGAACAAGAGCAACTCAGCCACGAAATGGTAGGCCACGTAAAATGACAGAGCGGGGTCAGCGCATGCTGGAGCTCACGGTGTGCAGAAGTCACCAACTGTCTGCAGAGTCAATAGCTAAAGACCTTCAAACTTTGTGCAGCCTTCAGATTAGCATAACAGTGCATAGAGAGCTTCATGGAATGGGTTTCCATGGCCGAGCAGCTGCATCCAAGCCTTACACCACCAAGTGCAATGCAAAGCATCAGATGCAGTGGTGAAAAGCATGCCGCCACTGGACTTTAGAGCAGTGGAGATGTGTTCTTTGGAGTGACCAATCACGCTTTTCTGTCTGTTAATCTGATGGACATGCATGGGTTTGCAGGTTGCCAGGAGAACGGTACTTGCGTCAGCATACCAAAACATTTTAGACAATTTCATGCTCCCAACTTTGTGGGAACAGTTTGGTGATGACCCCTTCCTGTTCCAACATCACTGTGCACCAGTGCACAAAGCAAGGTCCATAAAGACAAGGATGAGCGAGTTTGGGGTGGAGAAACTTGACTGGCCTGCACAGAATCCTGACCTCAAAACAATAGAACATATTTGGAAAGAATTAGAGCAGAGACTGCGAGCCAGGCCTTCTCGTCTGACATCAGTGCCTGACCTCACAAATGAGCTTCTGGAAGAATGGTCAAACATTCCCATAGACACACTCCGAAACCTTGTGGACAGCCTTCCCAGAAGAGTAGAAGCTCTTATAGCAGCAAAGGGTGGGCCAACTCAATATTGAACCCTACAGACTAAAACTGGGATGCCATAAAAGTTCATGTGTGTGTAAAGGCTGGCGTCCCAATACTTTTGGCAATATAGTGTATCTAAACGTGTATATAATCTAAACGTGCATTCACTCACTGAAAGCTGATGTAAACTCGTGTCTCTGCAAGTGAAATGTGCATGTTTTTTCTGCACGTATGGTGTGGACGAACCCTTAAAAAAATAAAAATGTGTTCCAATTTAACCTCTTATCAACCCTTAAAGTGTAAGTTACCCCAACATTTCATATTTCTGATATGTGTTTGTGTTACCATATACTTGTATTAACAAGCATCCTGTACTCTTTGCATTGTTTGGGAGCACAGCCTGCCTTTACTCCAGTAGTCAGACGTCTGGTGACATGTCCCTCTGCACAGGTCTTCACTATGAAGGTCAGTGTGTACTGCTGTTTTTCTGCCTCCTGCTGACACCCCCCTCCCCATTCACGGTGTATTTCTGTCACTGCAATTTCCACAGGACTGTGCCTGTGCTCAGTTCAAGCTACTGCTGCCACCATGCCCTCCACTGTCACAAGGATTATCCGCCCCCACCTCTCTATGCCCCTTATGCAGCTAAGGATAGAAATCACATGATCACTTATAAGAAAAAAAAAATTTCTAATAAACATTTTGCCGTGCATTTTTATAATAAAGATTGCAAGGATCTTAACAAGCTTTGTAGCAGAGTCCTACCTATTTCTGCTCCTAAAAAAATCTGTATGTTCTACTATGTCCTTTGAAGTCTGATTCCCAAATGGAAGTGCCTGTATTCAGTCTTAATTAGCTGATGCTTCCAATGAGGAAAGTTGCAGTGTCTTCATCCCTTTAGAAGTAATTAACCCTTAGGGAGTATGTCACCAAAAATATAATTCCTATTGCAAAGGATGCCTAAAACTTGACTTGTATATTAGTGCATTCTTCTGTGAAAATCAGTTAGCCAATCACAAAAGCAGGAAATTACATTTCTGGAGAGGTTCTGTACAAAAACTGTGCACAGAATGTCTTCAGGTTGCATTGTATTTTATAGAAATCTTACAGCACTGCAGATTGAAAAGGAAATTTTATTTTTAATAACATTAGATTACAATATGGCTTGTGTAGCAATTGTATATGCAATTATTATTATTATTTTTTTGCTATGTTTGTTTTTTTTCACAAATGTGTTACCCTTTAAGTAATGACAAAGTAATTGCCAAACCAATAAGCTCCATAGCAGAAATGTAAAAATTGCTCTAATCAATAGGAAGTGTATAAGCGTGACATGGTTAAACCAAATCTGGGTTTTTGTTTTTTTCTCAGCCCAAACTCTGCTGAACATATCTTTGGATCTTTCATCCATTTTTAAGATCATTTACATTAAGCAGAAATGTTTAGAATGAAAACAAAGATGTTGTTAAGTTATATGGGTATTTTGCTAAGATCCCAATTTCTGATGGGGAGTTAAACTGTATGAATAAGGCTTGATTCACACTGCAAGCTGCACCACTTACAGTGCGACTTTGCCAAGCAACTTCCTGGTGATTTGCTGGGGACTTGATGTGACTTGACTATGATTTGGTATACAACTTTGCCATTTGCCTTTGCTATAAAAAAATAGCAAAGTCGAATGGCAAAGTGGTATACCAAGTCAAGAAATAAAATTCTTGACCAATTAGAAAATACCAGTTTTCTTGTTAAATTTAGTTTCATTTATTGAATTTCTAATGAAATCCTAATTTTCAGAACAAATAGAATTCAAATCGGTTGAAATGATCGACCAATCCAAATTCTGTGTAGAATAGCTGGTTGCTAAGGAGAGAAACGGGAAGTGGTTTCCCCACTGACAGCTGAATGTAAATAAAATAATGGCAGCAGCAATTTAAAATTAAAAAAAAAAATGTTTTTTTAAAAATGGTGTGGGGGCCCCCAAAAAATCCATACAGGCCCTTATCCGGGCATGTAGCAGGTCAGGAAAGAGGGGGGGACAAGTGAGCA